ACAGGGCGACGTCGCACCGAGTCGACGCCGTCGGGGCTGCTGGTGTGCTGAAGGGCGGTGTGCCGTCGGGGCAGGGCGGAGAAGAGCAACTGCTCAGGCAGCTGGACCCAGAGGCAAGGCCATGCTCGAACGTGCTGGCGGGCAGTCGGGCCGGGCTGGTCTCCTGCATTGGCAGAGTATCCGCCATTCGGACGAGCATTCGCGCGACGGAGGCCAGAAAGGGGATAAGCGAGATGTCCAGACGAGAGGTGAGTCCACAAGATGAAGTGCTCCCGGCCGTCGTAACGATGGCGGAAATCAACGAGGCCTAAGAAAAGGGAAGATATAGAGGACGAGTAGTTGAGTGCATGTGATTTGGGGAAACTTTTATATGCGTCTTTTTCATCCCAACTCACTCTGATGAGCCCACTCGGGTCGAAGGCGTCCAGTGAACTGACTTTCGCATGATGGATAAAGGGTATCGGCTAAAAGGGTCAAAGCATGTTTACAGGATGGATTAGAGGTGGAGGTTAGGAAGACATAGGCCAACTAGAAAGCTCATACAAGGTGTGAATAGACGGGCCACATAGTGCTTAGGAAGAGCTCAGTGGCTTGTGGATTTGGGGTTGTTCCCATGAGAGGCTTAGCGATTTTGTGTACCACATGCAAGCTATTGCTCAGTGAAAGCTGAAGGGTGCTTCATAATTCGATAAGCAGAATTCCCTTCACAAATTTAATTTAGTCAAATGAGAAGAATGAAAGGATCATAAAAGCCAAATGTACAGTGTCATTCAAGCATAGTGTGCTAATAAGTAAATCATTAAATTTAGAACAAGAGGTAGAACGAATATCAGCAAAAGGGCTAGTTTAATAAAGGGTAAAGCAGGAAGAAGAAAGATAAATGGTAACTCGAACTTTGACGACTATTTTTTAGTCAAAAAAACTTTAATGAAATCGATATAGGCGAGGAACCCTTTGTGGGATAAAGGATAATCTCACAGTTGAGGACAACACATGTGGAACAGAAAAGAAACAGTCCTCTACTGTGTTCATATGTCAGATTGTGGGTCTGCATACGTTTATTCCAGCGCTTTGCATCTCTTTCATTTGTCTTCATGCCTGTCTGTATTTATATCCGTCTCCACTTTGCCAGCTGATGCTAATATCCATCTGCCCCCTAATTCATCCGACCAGGCCACTTGCATTTTTGTCCCTACCTATGCATATTTAGATGGCATAATCTGTCCGCCGCTATACATTAACGCGACTATATATCTTCCAAATCTGAAGGCCTCTCTATTAGCCAGTGGATCTGCCCGTCAATCCGCCCCTTGACCCAATATCTTTTGTTTGGTCCGTAAATGTGAAAACGTGTCTCTTAACTTATGCGCTTACCAGTTTGCTGCTCCAGTCATAGCTTTTTGAGATATGCCTACAGATCTGTATGTACTGTGTTATCTCATCTTCTTATCAATTCGACATCATTTCTGCTAGCTTTAGCCGGCTTGAATGAATATCATTTTGATAGTATGGGCTTTTGTTTGATTATCTCTATTCCTACTATATTATCGCCATCCGTAGGTCCATCAACCTGCCAATCTAGTTGACCGTCAATCCGTTTGATCTAAACTAAACACTCTTTCTGCTTCAATCGAAGGTATGAAGACCACTCTAAGCTCACTTACTAATTATCTATCAACTTGGATATGTAT